CTGAAACATTCTGGGGACAGCTGAGACTTATATTACATATTGTAAAAAGGGGCATAATAGGTCACTACACTTTGTCATATGAACAACCAGTCAATAGTTGTAAGCTATATGTGTTTAATTCACCAAACAGAACTGACTCATTAAAGTCAGTCATTCTGGAATCTGAATGCACAGACTGCGCTGTATGTTTTTGTTACACTAAAAACAACCGACTCATTAGATGCCTTAATTCAAGAATTGAACACTAATTATGCTTTAGCTGTAATAAAACAGTAGCCTAAGAAAGAGCTTAGTTGCTGCCTTAAGCGTTTCTTGGTGTTACTATCATATGTTAAGAACAGTATAGTCCCCTGATCGGTTTACAGTGTGTTTGGTGTCATTCATTGCATAGGTATAAAAAACCAGGAGACAGATTTAACAGAATTTACCCTCTCCCTTGTGACCGACTAGGCGGGTATTCAGCTCACCCGCTTTCTGACCGTTATAATCGGATCTTTTGTTAAAATGTTGGCGAGCCGTTCTAGGCTGAGGAAAACTAGGCAGCTGATATCTGCCTCTCCATTGTGCAGTTTGAACAAGGCGCCTACCAACATTACAACTTTATACTGGAGCAACCGTCAGCCTTTCAGCACTCCCTCCTAGGAGACGATGGTATTTTTCCACTTGGGCACCGCTGGGAGAGACACAAAAGGAAAAGTGCCAAGGAGAGCAGTAGAGTTTAGCTTGTGAAGAGACTAGTCTCATTGTTGGGTGTAATATTTTTAATCTGATCCTGGAACAGCCTGCTTCATGGTAAACATCCTCTGTAATGATTGTAGGGATGAATATTATCCACAATTGTTAATCAAACATGAGATGTTATTTAAAAAAATGTTTTTTATATTTTACAATATAAAAGTTTATATTTTACAATTTTCACTTAACATCTCAAAATTATCGAATTTTCTCAATTTTCAATTTTGTCAAATTGAATTTTTCTCGAACTTTCCTTAAACATCTAGACTTTTTTTCTCAAAACATCAAGTGTAATATCTCAAATTTTTGACTTTTCTCAGAAACTAAAAATTCAAATACAAATGTCAGTATTGTGAGATGCAAACTAGCATTTCTGTAAGAAAAAAAAAAATCAGAATTGCTAAATGCTAACTCAAAATGAGGAGCTCTAAACTCAGAATTGCAAAACAAATTAAGTCAGAATTGGCTGATGTAAACTCGGAATTGCAAAAAATAAAGTCTGAATAGTGAGATAAGTTTTAATTCTTTTTTTTCATTCTGTGGCGGAAATGGGATTCTATATGCAGTGATCTGAAATAAACTTGCAAGGAGAAAAAAAGCTGCATACATTTGCATCAAATACTTTCTAGCAAAATATCTCACTGATTTTAAAGTATTACTTTATATTGAGACAGCAGATGTGTGTGGAAGAGAACAGAAAGCATCAAGAATACTCTATAACACCAGATGTGTGACATTATAAATCTACACCAATGTGATGTTAACACACTTGGTCCTTGACAGCACAGACAGAGGAGAGGGAAAGGGTTTGCCATTTGAACTCAGGTCACAGGGGCAAAAAAATAAAAAAATACTGGAGAGGGACTGGACGACCCAGCTCAGAGATGAGGACTTCATTTATTTATAATTCATCACCAGCTTATTCAGCCTCTAATGGAGGCGGCAGAGAGCACATGTTAAACTTAGATTCTAGTGATGTAATGGCAAACTAATGCTTTACACTGCATTAACTGCTTAATACATTAGGGACGGATGACTGTGATAAAGCCAGTCAATGACAGGCCCTCACATACTAATTCTTAAATATAGAAATGATGATCAATTTAGACATTTTGCCTTGAAGAAAAATAAAGTTTATTATATAAAACAAAACATTTTGATTTTAATATATATATATATATATATATAGAAATGATGATCAAATCAGACATTTTGTCTTGATTCTATTTTTGTTATTTCATATAGCAAAATATTGAATTTATATATGGAATTGATAAACAAATCAGACTATTTGATTCTATATGTATAGATGCATATATTGTAGATATATTATATGCACATAACATTTTATTTTATATACATATTTATATGAAAAATTTAAATGTAAAAAGTCTGCACTCAATTAGCATATAATGTCTGCAAAGACAGGTGGCTTATCTATTTGTTGTTTTATTTTGGTTCAAAATTAGATAATGGTTTCCTTTGTCTTACCTTAAAGGCTTTGGGAGACAGAAAAGAGAGAAATTGGGAGGGGATGTGTTTGTGTGTAAAAGCATGTGCAACCAGTATGCTATTGTGGTTAGAATAGGGGAGGAGCTTTGCTCTTATGGGAGCATAACTACCCACACTCTGTCCAAAGAGAACGAACATTACATAACACTACATGGCATTACGTTTCATGACATCATCCATGCATCCAACTAAAAATGAGATGACTTCAGCCTATAGGGCCAGGGAGAAAATTTTCAAAAAAGCAAGCATTGCATATTAGAAGCATACCAGCATTCAAGCAGAGGTGTTTTATGCTGAACCCATTCAGGCTAGTGTGGATTCACTGGTCCGTTAGAGACAGAGAGAGAGTCTCTCTGTCGCACAGTGGTTCTGTAAAGTGGGTCACTGTCAGCGGTGGGAAATGAAATGCACAGTATCTGTCTGTCTGCCTGCAGGCAGCATGATCCACAATCTAGCCAATAGATGTTCCAGTGCATTTATCTTAAAATATTTTGGCATAAAGTCTTCCAGCTTACATTCATCTATGCACATCTGGTGCACGTGGATCAGTCAAAGTGCACATCTGGCTGTGTATAAAGTGGCTTTAAAAGCATGTTAACAGATCGAGTGTCAGCCTGTTATAAGTGGGTCTAGCCCACTAATAATTAGGGCGACACATAACACAGGAAAATCAATGCTTGGATGCATTGAAATTTTTATACTGTACCATTGTCTGACTGGGTGTCAAAAAGTTTAGACAGACAGACACACACACACACGCACGCACGCACGCACACACACACACACACACACACACACACATATATACATACACATACTGTATATGTTACAGTTCTTTGCTTAATTCCAAACAGTCAGCAACATGTGTGGGAAGCAACACGTGTAGCAAGTATATCTTATAGTTATGGAAGGCCTGCTGATGAACTTATTTATAATCACTTAAATGTTGTTTAAAATATAGCTTTTATGATACCCTGTGTTACCCCTGTATCACCCCCAGTGATAACAGCCAAAATATGTCCTTGGCAGGGGGTTTCTCAGCTCCCTTTGTGTCTTTGTGTAAGACACCAGAGACCCTAGACAGGGCGAGGCATCTAAGCACCATCTGCTCCCCCTTCCCTTGGGCAGCTTACAAAATGTCTCCCCACTCAAACAGGATGAATGAGATCCTGGGTGGGGCAGGAGGAGACTGGCAGAGGATGATACAGGCACTTTTGGACAGAGATGAGGCCTACAAGGAAAATATTAGAGAGATATTTAACAGAGGAGCAAAAAATATCAAATAATCTCATGTAATGCAATTGCATGCCAGTATGTGTTGTGTTTTCCACATTTGAAAGTCACTTCGGATAAGAGCATCTTCTAAATGAATGAATGCATTAAAATAGTCAAAACAACTGACTCCCACATTTGCTTTTCTCAAACAGAGACCAAGACCATTCAGTGGCACGGAAACAAACACCAGCAGTAAAAACCAGTCAGCTTGAAACGCAGTGCTGAGACTATCAGCTCTGCCATTTAGCTAAAGTTCATGCACTGATAGAGGATTCATTGAGGCATTGGAAGAACAGAAGCAAAACAATCACTAATGCCAAGTGAACTGTTAATTGCCATATTGCTTTGCTCCAAAAACTAAAGCAGGTCACAGACTTGTCGCTGCTTTGTTCTACGAATTTATTGGGCTGTAGTCTACTAGTTGTGAGATGACTAACAATAGGGGTGAGGTCAGGACTCGCTTGTTCCATTATAGCCTCATTTTAAAGAAAAATGAATTTCCTAGTCACAAGCTGTCAAATTTTACTACTCTAAATTAAGCTTTCATTGTATTCTAAACTAGTATACTAGCATACTAGGATACTCACTGTACACTACTGTATATCTGGTCAGTTTTATGTATCTTTTGCTATGATATCCCACAATTCTGTATGCGTGGTTCAGTGGTTAAGTGGGAATAATAAAAATGGTTATGTTCAATAAAAAAACAAAAAACAAATTGTGTCTGAAATAATAGTTCAAAGAAATTAATTGTTTAATAACTGTCCATTTATAATTTATGACTCAATTTATTTTGAGAAACAAGCATTGTACACTCTTAATGTGAATGCATTCATATATATTACGCAAATAATTTAAAAGTAAATCAGATATTTTCCATCGTGTACTACATATCCCAGAATTCTCTACTCGACGATCATTGGTCACATCCAAATATGACGTAACACAATTTGGTCCTCTTTTGCGCGAACGGTTGACGCTGAGGCAGAGAGGAATCTTCGCGCGGTCAACTCCAGCACTGATTTCCACTGCAACTAAAGGTGGGTGTTTTTTTGTTGTCAAAAAATAATATTTTTGCAATACATCTCAACCGTGTCTGACGTGACAGGAAGAGAAGGCATCTAAAGTATAAAAATTCAAATGATTGCGATTTTAATTTCAGTCACACCCTTATTTACCTCCCTTTTTGGGGAGGGGGTGTAGATAATAGACAAGGGCATCGGGAATATTCTGTATGGTTAGAGAATTACCATAGCTAAATAAGTAAGTAATTTAAAAATAGCAGCACGCACATCTAACGTTATCTAAAACTGCTCGTCGTGGCGCGACCCTTAAGGTTTTGTGTTTATCGTCGTTTAATCGGGAGGGAATTGTGCAAACGGTCGAGCTCAACATTAGCCAACAGGCTCTCATTTAGTTGAGCTTTGCTTGTTGATTTTGCCGTTTTGCTAGTGCAAAATCAATTCTATTGTTAGCCGGACTTGAACCGTTTTCTGTTTTACCTAAAATCTTAACAACAATCCCATAATATATCCCACAGTACAGTGACAGGTGATCTAATGGGTCTCGACGCCTTTTGTCTTCGTTATGTGTGCATTCACCAACTGTGCTGTCAAATAATATTATTTACCTTCGAATCTATCTATTACATCGATTAGGAGACATATAGAACTGTGCATTTTGCATGTCAACACTGAGATTATTCTGTACAATGGGCAGTGCAGTTGTGTCTGTTGTGAAATGAGAGAGATAGGGTGTGATCTGGTTTGTTGGAAACGCGTGATACATCAATACCACTATTTGTAAGCGCTGCATTCCATATTTGCATGCTTCTTGAACATTATTAGGGTCTTATTGATACGTAATATAGTATAGTTTGTGGTATTATGGATTTTTGAGGGCTGTTATAATGGGGGTTCAGGGTGTATCTCGGCCATCTATTGTCTCCAGATGAGATCCTGCATCCCATCGGATAGACACAAGGGCTGTATGTTTATTTTCAACCATCGGGTGATGACTTGTTGTCAGGTCATATTTAAGATGAGAAGTTTGTCTTATACTTAATATTTGACGAATCACTTCAACGGATTAGCCTACGTTTGTTTGTTTCTTGCACAATATCCCCTTTGTTTTAATCTCTCAGTGCCCAGTTGGATCTCATTACATTACAAAAAGAGATGCTGATTTGTTTTCTCTACATTTCACCCGAGTGTACACCCCGTAGTATATATTTTAATTGAACTATTATCGTTTAATTAGATGATGATGACAGCACGTCTGAATAGATGGATCCGGTGGTTGTTGTGCTGGCAGCGACTCGTCCTTTTCTTGGCTTTCAGCATAAAGAAGGATTTTTTTTGTTGTTGCATTTTTAACAGCTTGTTTCCTTCCCAAAATATCATTCAGTTAGTAAATTATGCATGACTGTTGTGGCGACGCCACTCCCTTTAGTAGTGTATTTTAGTTATTATTTATACAGTTATTATATATATTTTTCTTGTATATACCACAGTAGGGACAGACTCCACTTATGGATTTTTCATGAATAGCTACCTTCTTTTTTTCATTGATAGAAAAGCTGTTGTATAGCGGAGGCTTGTTTTTAATATGTGGGGAGGGGCATATGCTTAAAAGAAAAGATTGTGTAAACATGACTTGCATCAACGTTAGTAGCAAAACGATTGCATTTTTTCTGATATTATTATTATATGCATTCATTTGGCAGGTGTGTAAAACCGTCGAGGTTGAAAGTGCAATGGCGTCCTCTGGAGGTAAGATGCAAAAATAAGCTCAGCTAAGCTCCAATCTCGAAATCAGTATGCTTCACTATTGTTTGTAATTTAAATGAAATCATTCTGCAAAGGAAATCAAGCACGGAGTATTAAATGCAATGATTTATCCTTCACAGATATTCAGGTTAAGGAACTGGACAAGCGTGCCTCAGGACAGGCTTTTGAAGTCATCCTGAGTCCTTCGGCTCCAGATGCCAAGGGAGAATTCCCACTTTCCACCCCCAAGAAGAAGGAGGTATCTCTGGACGAGATCCAGAAAAAACTGGAAGCGGCAGAGGAGAGACGCAAGGTAAGTGGTCGTTTAGGAATCAATTGCATAGTGATTGTGCATTCTGTTCCTCATTTGTTTACCATCTCATATTAGAACCATGAGGCAGAGGTCCTGAAGCACTTAGCTGAGAAACGAGAGCATGAGAAGGAGGTCCTTCAGAAAGCAATGGAGGAGAACAACAACTTCAGCAAGATGGCAGAGGAGAAACTTAACCAGAAAATGGAAGCCAACAAAGAAAACCGCACAGCACGCATGGCAGCTATGAATGAGAAATTCAAAGAGAAGGTTTGTGTGTAGATGAATGCATATGCATTATAGGTTACTTTGTAAAGTTTCAGTTCTATTTAATTTACATTGTTAATGGATGTGTTTGTCTTTATTTTAGGACAAGAAGCTCGAAGAGGTACGAAAGAACAAAGAAACAAAAGAGGGGGCAGAGGGTGAAAACTAAGTTTCCGCTCTAATTTTCATTTTCATTTAGGGTATAGTATTGGGTTTTTTAATGTATCCAAAGATTTATTTTTTGTTCCATTAAATGGCCAGTTTTCCATGTTTGGATCCATGTACTTGCCACGTTTTTATTAAGGGGTTTTGGGGGAAAGCCGGTGCACAACATTTCAACAGTTTATGTGTATTCAGTTCTGTCTTTCACCATCCCATCTAACCTGTAGATTTGTCCAGTTGCAGCTCTGTAGCGTTTAAAATGAGCAGTGTTTTACTGATAGGGAAGCATGCCTGTGTTATGCATAGGTCTAATATATACTTGGTATACTGCATTGTGCAAGTCCACCTGTTCCCTTGTATATCAGTACTGCCATCCTATGAGCTTAATAAAGTTGCACAGTTGTTTGTTATTGTACCAGTTTTGCCACTGCCTCTTTGTTGATCTGTCAGTCAGCCAGAGTGTAATGTGGAGTAAAACACCTTAAAATTTGTACATTATGGAGATAAATGGCAGTTTCTGTAATTCTATATGGAAAACATGTTTTGCCAGAATAATAATTAGATCTTTTAGGACACTTTTTGATGTACTCTTTATAATCTGCTTGAGATTCCTAGTGTGAAAACTAAACATTTCATTATCCATACACATTTCCTTTACTAGATCATACTTTTATAGTAATTTATACTCTGTATGCACTAATAAAAAAAAATCAATGCATTCCAGTAAGTACTTGCAAAGGTTTGAGTATAAAAAAATTAAATCTGTTGCTTGAGACTGTGTTTGAACTATACTGGCATCTAGTGGTTTTGAGTTTGTCTAACAGGTATTAGAAAAGGCTTTTTTGAACATTTGTCTTAAAATGATTTCAGCAAAAAAATCCTAACGTTGACAATGACAACTATTATGGTTAGGTGCATGAAAATGTATGGCAGTTGTAAACAGCTTTGCAGTGATGAATGGCTTGTCCACATGCTGTCACATTATTATGTGTTCAGAAGTAGTGCATCAATCCTTTCTAAAATGAATTATACCTTATTTCCAAATTCTGAACTCCCTTAGTAGAAGCAACTACATGCATCCCAAAAAAATGTCCAGTAATATGTTGTGTGAATAAATGTTTTTTTTAATTGAATAAAATAAAAATGAAATCATGTGCTTGTCTGCGTTGTAGGAAGGGGCAACCAGTTCAAAAATGACCTTCAAAGCACCCATACATTGTTATGACCCAGTCCGAATCATTCAATCAGAGTATTATAGATGGAAAAGCCTATCGATATGAAAAACAATTACATTTACCACTGAAAGGACAAGTACAACAGGAATTCTTGAAATATTTTCAAACGTAATTTTGGTACAAGACTGCAAACTGCATGGGAATGTGCTTTTATTACTTGTCAGATGAAGTAATTTGCCTTCCTGTGTCTAAATTCACAATGTAGACCTTTGTTTCCACTGTTAACACCGAGTTTGACAAGGATACATTGTCAGCAGAGTGTATGTGTGGGTGAAGAGATAAGCCATCACATAGTTCAGCATAAGAAATGAACAACAGTACACTCACAATCTGAACATATTAGACAATGTGCATATTGAAATTACCTTTAAATTCAATTCAACAGTTTTTTCTGTTACTAATTCAAACGACTCACACTGACAATAAAAAAGTGTCTAAACATGTCTACATGTGGCTTTTGCCCAAATCTGTGCTCTGTTAACTGAATGTAGGGTAAATTAGCTACTGCACACATATGGGCGCACATATGTGGCCAAAAAAAAAATATATATATATCTTATATATTGTCTGTGTTATACCACATTGGCTCTCACCTCGTCTTTTATTAAAGAGGGAATGTAGGCGGTATTAATAAGAAGAGAGTAGTTTCACATTTCACAGTCCATACATTTTACAGGGTGTCGCCACCTTCAAAGGTGTTTCCTATTGGACAATTTCTTTGGACGGAGGCGGTGACAATGCTCTTCGGCTTTTCTGATTGGACAGTTTACCTGCCCACCAGGAATCTTTAGCTCACGGCCATCTGACAGCGGTACTGCAGGGAGCTGACAGGAGCCTCTCCAGCTCAACACATTTTCACGTAATATTTTTTCCATAATGACATTTTCTTTGTTTAGTTACGTTTCCTCAAGACGCATATGAAGGCGCGGTTAAATGCAGTTCACCGACTGAGGGGATTATCCTCTTAAAAGGTAAACCAGTTCAATTACCGATCATACGTTTAAGGCAAGATGAAAGGTAAAAAGTAAATCCCCATATGCACTGTATATGCTTTTAGATGAAGTTTTCAAAAACAGACATAGCCTTGGTGCGTTACGATCCGAGCATAGAGTGTGTAAACGCGGAGAAAGAATAATCGGTATAACCCAAGATAGATATCGACATTTGGTAAAACATGTAACGTTACAGTACATGAGAAAAGAAAGAACCCCTTTTTGGGTTGTTGCTTGCACCTGTAGACGTTGAATTTCGTAAGACATTTCATTGTTGCGCTTCCGGCTTCTTACGTTCCTTTTTTTCGAGATTTTACAAGAAACAGCTTGAGGGTGTGGGAAGGGTCTGTCTTTTGGGATGCTATCACTAAAATTGTCTACTATTTTGTAATTTTAATAGATTTGAAAATGAAAAACAATAATTTCCCCCCCAGACATTATGTTTTCCGGACATTATCGATGAATTCGTTTCGTAAGATTCGTCCTTATTAATTCATGTGCACGAGAAGCTTTACGCAGAGAGCTGATGTTACGTAAGCGGTGATGTCTATTCATTGTCCAAGAAGAAACGACCAGTTTTACATCACGTTACCTTCATTTCAGGTTAAACCTTTTTTTTGTATTCGCAATAAATGTACAGTCATAACATGTTTTTCATAAAGTGCGGTTTTCAGGATCCTGATATTTTACTTTAAAGGAGTCATATGATGCTGCTAAAAAAGAACATTATTTTGTGTATTTGGTGTAATGAAATGTGTTTATGCGGTTTAAGGTTAAAAAAACACATTATTTTCCACATACTGTACATTATTGAACATGGCGGCGGCAACAACAATACTACAGCCGGCGGCGTTATGCAAATCTTCCCACATCGAGACGTAGACGTGTGGGGGCATGTTAGAACTAGCCGTTTTAGGTAGGCATGGCTGACTCTTAACTTTTATAAAGAATATCTCTTTGGATTTGAGACTTTAGTCTTTGCAATTTTACAGATCTTCTTTATGCACCAAGAGCTTGTAACACTCCAAAGAGAAAGGAAAAATTTAAATTGCATCATATGACCCCTTTAACGCGTATCAAGTTGCATACATCGCTTAGATTGTGGCGTTTGCATTCATAAGGCGTGAAAATAACACCTGGCCCATTGTTTCGGAACCAGGCGCGTTTCCCCCCTTAGCTCGGTTCGTTTGGGCATATGTGAACACGGCAATCTCGCTCGGATCCGCGCCAAAACAATCGTCCGAGATCGCCTGAACGAGGTGGTCTCGGCTCGATTGGAAACGAACTCTGGAGCGGTTCGGTTGTAGTGAGAAAGCATCACAATGTATAATGGGTAATTACATAAGTTCTGTGAAAAGCATTAGCTTTGTTGTTTTGCTAATACTTCAAAATGAACCATGTGAATATCTGTGGGTGAGCCACGTCTTCGCCATTCAAAATCAAAGCGCACTTTTTCATTTTATAATGCCATCTTATTGCTCTTCTTCCTAGTATGTGCATTTTTAAAATGTTTTCCCAATGAATCCTGGAGTCCTGCTCAAATTTATAAATAAATTAAACGACATCTACAAAAAAACAACAACAATAAGCCTGCGAAGCTGTTGTCGTTCCATCCTGACAGATGACAGCTGTGACAGCTAAATGGAATCCCGGAAAATAAACCGTGAACCTTTGACCAATGAGAGAACAGTTTACTCGCGCGTGACTTGTATTAACAAATTTGGTCCATATAGAAACATTGCCGTGTGAAAGCGAACCGCACCAAGAATAAAAAGCAACATTGTAATAATTTTAATCCCTGTTTCGGAACAAAGCAATCGATCTACAGGTGCGAAAACACCCTAAGACAATAAAAAGTAGGGCACGTTTTAAAAACGCAAACCTTTAAAAATATAAGGATTGTGCAACTTAGGTAATGAAATTATTAAATGAAATTACATTTATTTAATTAGATTTTAAGCTGTTAAATTAAATACAATTAATTGATTTGTTTTAATTGTTTTACCCTTGTCCCAGCTCATACTTTAAATCTTAAACTATAAAAAATGTGAATTATTTGATGTTTAAAACTGGGATGACCTAAATTGTGTGAAACCCAATTAAATATTAATTTAAAGAAATGTATACACACACACACACACACACACACACACACACACACAAAAAACAAACAACAACAACAAGTAGATTTAGGATATACATAAAATGCTATATGCTAAATTAACCTTAGCAAGTCAAAGTAGTTAGCTATTTTATTCCAAAATTTTTTTAATATAATTTCCATCATTTCCACTACAGAATGTTATAAAACACATACATTTGATTTACATGTATTAACATTTACATGTATTCATGTATAATGCATGTATTCACACTTTTGGTACACAAATTAAAGTATTGAGAGTTTAAAAAAAGCTTTTTTATTTTTTTATTCCAAGTGAACGGTCTTAATAAAGCAAGGGTACTATTTAACTGTTGAATACTTTTTCCCAAACAGATCTCACACTAGACTGCCGCTTAATTAGTCCTCACCATGGCGACGGTTGTGATGGAGCAGATTGGGCGGCTGTTCATCAACGCACAGCAGCTTCGCCAAATCCCCCGTTTCCTGGAGTCAGCCTTCCCTAAACTGCCGTGTACTGTGATGGTGAGCGATGTGCCGTGGGTTTTCCGTGAGTCGCATATATTCACGGGCTACAGGTCGCCTGACCAGAACTGGCGCTACTACTTCCTCACTATGTTCCAGAGGCATAATGAGTCTGTAAATGTGTGGACACACCTTCTGGCCTCCCTCATTATCTTAGTCAAATTTCAGGAGCTGTCAGAAACCGTGGACTTCCTGCGAGACCCGCACGCCCAGCCGCTGTTCATCCTGCTCCTAGCTGCCTTCACCTACCTGGTCTGCAGCGCGCTTGCCCACCTGCTCTCGGCCAAGTCTGAGCTCTCCCACTACACCTTTTATTTTTTGGACTACGTTGGCGTAGCCGCATACCAGTATGGCAGTGCCCTGGCCCACTTCTATTACGTCATCGAACAAGAATGGCACGCTCAAGTGCGAAGTTTTTTCTTGCCAGCCGCGGCCTTCCTGGCCTGGCTGTCCTGTACGGGCTGCTGCTACGGCAAGTACGCCAGCCCAAGCTTGCCCAAATTCGTTCACAAGCTATTCCAAGTGGTTCCCTCGGGCCTGGCCTACTGTTTAGACATCAGCCCGGTGCTCCATCGCATCTATAAATGCTACAGCTCCGAACAAGGCTGTGCTGACCAGGCGGTGGTGTACCACTGCTACCAGGTCGTCTTCTTTTTAATCAGCGCCTACTTCTTCTCATACCCCCATCCTGAGCGCTGGTTCCCGGGACGTTGTGACTTCATCGGGCAGGGCCATCAGATCTTCCACGTGTTCCTTGTGCTCTGCACTCTAGTGCAGATCGAAGCCGTGCGACTGGATTATAGCGAGAGGAGACCTCTCTATGAAAGTCTCCATGGAGACTTGGCTCATGATGCAGTGGCTCTTTTTATCTTCACAGCGTGTTGCAGTGCACTCACTGCGTTCTATGTGCGCAAACGGGTGAAGGAGTATCTAGAAGAGAAGCAGGAGTAGGCAGGGACCTTGCTTGCACATGATGGAAGGATTGCACTGGTCTACAACAATTGAAGCAACTAACAATGAAGGACCTTTTTGTTATTTTTCAGCGTATCTTATATTTGTCATTAATGTTTTTTTTGTGGCCTGCCAATGCATTTTGAACCAACTGCTTTCTGTTTACCAAACTGGTGACATGCTTTAAAACCGCATCACATATGAAGAATGGCTCTAAAACAATGGATTGCCTGCTGAAAGGTGCTGATCTGTTTGACGAGTGCCATTACAACCTGTTAAACCTGGTTAACGTGAGATCTGTGAAGGGATATCAGCATTTTTGCTGACAGGTTGGTTTGCATACAGGATAGTTTAGGTTGACTGGATCATTGGAAATGTTCATATTTGCATTGTGCCTCTAAATCCAACCTCATTTTGGTGCAGTGTGCTGCTCTTAAAGGGTTAGTTCACCCAAAAATGAAAATTGGCTTGTGTTTTACTCACCCTCGAAGCATCCTAGGTGTATATGACTTTCTTCTTTCAGACGAATCCAGTCGGAGTTATATAAAAAATTGTCCTGGCTATTCCAAGCTCTATCATTGCAGTCAGCGGGTGTTGCAGTTGAACAGTCCACAAGTCGTCAAATAAAGCGCGCACATTCATAATAAAACAAGCGTCACACGGCTCTGGGGGGTGAATAAAGGCCTTCTGTAGTGAATCCATGCGTTTTTGTAAGAAAAATATCCATATTTCAAACGTAATAAACACTTTTATATCACTTCCGCCAACTGTCATACGCGGAAGCCGTGCCGGCAGATGACGTAGCACGTCGGCGTTGTGTGATTAGTGACGAACACGGAGAGAGAACAAAACAAAACGCCAGTCACGAATTAGAAGTACAAACCGAAGATTTGCAAAGAAAAATGTCGGAGGATTTCAATATAAGCCAAGACGAGACTGGATTTCCTTTGCTAAAGTAAGGAAACTTTGCTTCCTTTGCTCCTATAAACATACTCGCGAGTCTAGCATATCTCAGAGGCATGCGCGCTGCGCATACGTGCTACGTCATCCGCCAGAACGGCTTCTGCATATGACAGATAACGGAAGTGAGAGAAAAGTGTTTATTACGTTTGAAATATGGATATTTTTCTTAGAAAAAACGCATGGATTCACTACAGAAGGCCTTTATTCATCCCCCGGAGCCGTGTGAAGCACGTTTTATTATGATTGCGCGCGCATTATTTGACGACTTGTGAACTGTTCAACTGCAACACCCGCTGACTGCAATGATAGAGCTTGGAATAGCCAGGACAATTTTTAATATAACTCCGACTGGATTCGTCTGAAAGAAGAAAGTCATATACACCTAGGATGCTTCGAAGGTGAGTAAAACACAAGCCAATTTTCATTTTTGGGTGAACTAACCCTTTAAGTATGTTACTCATATGCCATTTGCACATTTAGCAGACATATATTGCATTCAATTTTTTTCCCTGGGAATTGAACCCATGACCTTGATGTTGCTAGCACCATGTGCTATGGTTTGAATTACAGGGATGCAAACAGCAAGTAAAATGTCAGTAAATAAAGTTCCCATGCCATCAGACCAGTGCAATTAGCTAAATGTGGAGCTCAGGTGGACTTAAATTCACAAGTGTTTTAAATCATGACTGAAATGTTGCAAAGGAATACCTTACTGAGAGATGACTGATTAATAATCAATTTTTTAAATGAATCAGATCAAATTCCCCACTCTGCAGTGCTTTTTAGACAACAATTTTCTGTTTTGGCTACTATTACCTCAGTAAACCAATGCAAATTAGTGTCAAATTGACCACTGACTTGCCTTACAGTGTGTCCGACCCGTCCAGTGCCACGTTGAGGTTAGTTCATGATTACTTGCGAATTGCAATCGATTGGTTTTGCACTGCCAGTGCACACTTCCCTTTTTGATGTAAAAAGTGTAGCCTGTGAAGAGGGGTGAAATGCCGGATGTTATGAAAAGGACAGTAGGCAGGATGTGATGTCACTGGATTGCAGTATAGTCAGATTGAAGGATTTCAGATGCAGCCCTGGCTGATTATTAATTTGACAAAAATGAGAACTCTGCGTGTTCTTTATGCTTCAAAGTTATTAGAAAGTTGCTCCAAGCCATCAACACTCTTTGTTTGGAAAATTTTAAAGGGAAAGTTCATTCAAAAATGAAAACCCATTATTTACTCATTTTCATGTTTTCCAAATCAGAATGACATTTTGAAGATTGCTCTTACTGTTGCCCATACTATGAAAGTCTCTGGGGTTCAAAATAACTTTTGATTCCTTCATTTAATTTGAATCAAACAATATTTTTTTATAAATAACAGCAGAATATTCATTTTTGGGTGAACTATCCCAGCCAAAGAGGCTTTTGAGAAACAATGAATTATGTCCATTATAGCTATGATGTCTCCATTTGTCATGAAGATGCTCCTTTTGTACGCAAGGGCTATAACTATGGCCTTTACCTTTACTCATACCCTGATATGAATGCCGTTGTGTGTTCTGTGCATATGTGGATTTTTCTAATAGAAGTTCAGCACTTTATTTATAAGAACAGTCTGAGCATCAAAACTAATGTGATAAATGTATATTCTAATGTGCCTGACTACATGCATGCGGCCTTGTGTGAGTATGCATACAGGTGCTTGTCGTGTGTGTGTGTGTGTGCATTTTTGAATGTTTATGTATACCTGTGTGAGATGGCTACTGATGAGAAAGGATATGAAGGTTCCTGAACCTGTCTGGCCTTTTAATGACCGTGAAATGCATCTAGCTCTTGTATCATGAATTGTGTAGCTCCCCTTGTCTTAGCCCTTGTTCATAAACCAACACATATCCATCAGATTGAAGGTGGAAGGATGACTTATTTTCCCATTGAAGTGATTCATATTCCCTTGAGATGAATATTGTGTCACTAGGCTATTGCTGCATTAACCAGGAAAGCGTCTGTGCGTTGTAGCATAAAAGCTGGTTTATGATCCAGTCCCAGAAAAAACTAATTGTTGATGTGGTATGAGCCGTTTGAGAAGTAGCAAATAAGCGAAGTGGATAAGCGGTGACCAGCATTTATTTTTTCAACCAGGAACACATGGAGAAGAAAAAGGGGCTGTTCACGCAGAACGCATTTTTGCGTTTCAAAACGCAAGACGCTTGGTAATGGAATGGAAAAAAAAACTGCAAGGACTAGAAATACTTTTTTTTTTAAGCTTAACTTTAGCACTGCATTTTAAAAATGCTGTGTTGTGTGAAATGCTTCAAAAGACTAAAGTAAAACGGTCAAAGATGCCCATTTATCACGTTTATAAAGAAAAGCAATACAGTGGAATACAGAATGCATTTTGTCCGTTCAAAATCATGAGACACCGGGCAGTGAAATGGAAAAAAGAGCAAGGCCTAGAGACTTTTAAGTTGCACTTAACATGTGCATGTGGCGCTCATGTCTAGCGCATGTTTACATAGAACAATAACGGAAAAGTAGCGCAGTGGAATGCGAAAACGCATTCTGTACAAGCATGTTTTTTAGGTTTGGAAATGATGCAGGGCAGTGGAATAAAAAAAAAGTAAGGTCTAGAGTGGCATTTTTTTTTCAAAAGTTAACCTAAACTTTAGCACTGCTTATTTAGAATGTTGTATTATGCGCAAGATGCTGCAAAAGACGCAAGATGTAGCGTGTATTTAGCGTGGAATGTAAAAATGTGTTCTATGTGAATGGCCCTCCAGTTTTATCAGCACCAGCAGACAACAATGATGTCACAGACTGATGATGTCATCAAGGACTAGAACTGATGAAGTGATTGAAATGTTGTCAGTTGACTCCTTATGATGATTTACAAGGCAAATATATCAGAAAATGATCGCATAGTGGGTGCTTTATTTAATGAAAGACCATATTGATTACAATTATTTTATAATATTAATTACATACTGTATATATTAAACGTAAACTATTAACAGAATATGTTGTTTTTACTGCTGTACCACAGTTTAAGAATTGAACAGACCATTTGAAATCACATAGTAGATAGTGAACAGGGGGCTGCCAAGAGCTGATGTCACTGAGAAAGAAAACAGATGAGGTCATCTCCTGGCAGTACTGGGATTTGACCTAAAGCCTCAATTCCAGTAATGCTCAAGTGGAATTTTAAGGAACTCTGTAAATGATTTCTGCTAAACTGTAAAGTGTCTCCTTCTCAGATTCTGTACTAATCTACTCACCTCGGAGACACTTACAGAATCTTTTCTATTTTAAACATGATGTTTAGAGTTTGTTTTAACAATTGTGTTTCTTTTTGTATTGCACTTAAAGAGGAAGGACTGCTCAGAAAGTTACTGGAGAACCTCTTGATTTTTTTTTTTTTTGACTGTACTCAACCACCAACCCTTGCACGGAGCTGAACTAACACTCATGTTCTGCTGCAGTGCAGAACAGGAACAATAAAGACTGGTGATAACCTAAACTATACCGTTGTGTGTGGAAATGACTGTGTTGATGTACTATGGTATTTAAGTGAATAAACAACTGTAAGTCCCACCTTCCACTTCACGTCATTGTGTTTCCTGTCTAGACAGAAAAGGCAAAACAAAGTATAGAGCAGCAGGGGCGTAGATTATGCGGTGGACGTGTCCCCCCCACTTTTAATATCACGTAAATTCGTCCCCCGCACTTTTTCGGGCAAGTGTGTTCGCATAGAGGTTTTCAAGAGCCGGTGTGAATAAATATAGATTTAAATTCAAAGAGACAGGATAGTCTGTGCATGACACTGAAGACTGGAGAAATGATGCTGAAAATTCAGCTTTTGATCACAGCAATCATTTTAAAATATATTCAAATAGAAAGCAGTTATTTTAAATAGTAAAAATATTTCACAACATTACTGCTTTTGCTGTACTTTGGATCAAATAAATGCAGGCTTGGTGAGCAGAAGAGACTTCTTTATAAAACATTAAAAATCTTACTGTTCAAAAACTGTTGACTGGTAGGTTATATAGATTAATTTTTTTATATATAACATTTCTGTCCCCTTCACTTCTGAAATGATGGCTACGCCCTTGGTATAGAGTAACAAAACATCAGTTTATGCATGCACACACTAACAAGTGAGTAACAATCTGTTATTGTGAACAATAAAGCTATTGTAATCCATTCAATGCACCACTACAGCAACTGTCACAGCGTCAAATGAAGTGATAAAACAACATGTCAGATCATTTCAAAGGCTAGTTCACCCAAAAATGAAAATTCTCTCATCATTCACTTGGAACGACATGACAGTGTGTAAACAAACGCTGACAGAATTTTATCATGTTTTGTGTCTGCATATGAATTTCCAGTGAATCTAGCAAACTATAGTCTGTCTAATAGAAGCTTATTCCATAATGTATGGATGCAATAAATCCGTACCCTTTAGGACGGCATATATGCCAGTTACGATATTTTATCTAATTTTCTAATTGATAGATGTCTCTCTACAATGCTG